TACTTTCTGGTGCTTTCACTTCCAGAGACAGTTGTAAGCACTGTGTAACTGCCTCGAGGGTGCTTGACCATTTTAACACAACGTGGTGCGATCATCCCCCTTGCGCGGAGTGAGGGTTCTCCACCCCGCACAACATGATCTACTCGACCACCATCATGGTTACCGCCAAAAGCAACAGAGGTAAAAAAAAACAAACGGTAAGCTGGTTGCCGAGCTCACGAAGTGAATCGGCTTGTTGTACAACGTCCTTGCCAAGCGACGAAAACCCAATCCCGATGGCAATCACCGAGGGGGGGCTTCTGTTACAACGTCGTTGCCAAGCGACGAAAACCCAACCCCGATGGAAAACACCGGGGGGGGGCGTAGTGTGGGGGGGGGCGGCGTTTGGGTCCAGCAGAGTCCTTCTAGTCCTGCCGCCCTGCTTATTCGTGACATCAACCTCTCCTTCAACGATATGATCCTGGAGGAGGAGGTGACCAGATTGAAGCAGTCCGCCACCTCCTTCCCCTTGCTGCGTACGTGCCGCGGTTCCCTCCTCAATGCTTTGTGAACAACTCGGAGCAACCCCCCACCAGCGAGTTGGTAGAGACATCGTTCTTGCGGTGTTCCTTGGTGTGCGCGTTGGGGCAATGCGACGGCGGGGTGTACAGCAGCTTGCCGATCTCCTCCTCTCTAAAGTAGGTGTCTGCCCCTCTCTCTAGAGTATGCGGACCCTTGTTTCTGATAGCCGGGTACGTGGCGGCCTGTACTTCCCGCCGGCCTCGGACCAGTACGCGGCGCACGAGGGAAATTCCTCCTCCGCCTTTCGGAGCGCGAGAAAAAAACAAGTCCAATGAGCCGAAGCGCCACGATGCCGCCCACCTCTTGCCCAGCCTTTCTGTCGAGCTCCGCCCCGTCCTCGTTGAGCGTTCGCAATGTGATAAGGTTGTCCCCTTGGTCGCCAGGAGAAGAGTTCTTCCTCAATGTCAGCATCCCATGCGCAGGCAGCAGGAGTTTCTCGAGGCAACTCCATCAAGGATTCTTTCTGTGTCCATGTTTCCGGGTAGCCTGATTTGGTGTCCATCTCTGCGGAGGAAAACGTTGATATATGGTCTGCCTCTCTCCCATCTCCAGTCTTCGGCCAGCACAGTCCTCTGTCGCGTGCGACGCAGCACCGCCTCCCGATGAAAGTAGCATCCGATTCTTGCCCTTCGGCCTACCCTTGCCCTTGCTACAGCCACAATTACCGCGTCTCCCCTCTATTGACCCCCTCCCCTTGACGCGATAGTACCGGTACCGCCCGCTTGACGGCTTCGTT